GGCGACTGGCGGGCCGTGGGACTGTACGTGACCGTGGGGGGACCTCGGGGCGTTTGCCCTGGACTTTGGCGGACATTGCGCTGGTTGGGGGGTTGTAGTGTTCGGAGCGGGGGCGCTTCGAGTTCGAGGTCGAGTTCGACTTTGAGTGGAATGAGGTCGGGCGGGATATGGTAGAGTCGGAATCGGAATCGACGCGGCGTTTCCGCCGAGAAGGGTTTGGGGATGTGGACGATGGAGGTTGAAAGGGTGTTGTGTTCGGGTTGGACGGGCCAGGCGCGGGTGGCATGTACGCCGGTGGAGGCATGGACCGAGAAGTCCCGGCAGATCGGGTGTCGTGCTGGGATCTTTCTTATTTTGCGAAATGGAGCTCGTTTAGCTGTCGTTGGCTAGTGTATGTGATTGTTATGGTAATGTCGATTTCCTGAGTACTGTGATGCCTTTTTGGTTTAGCTGAGTTGCTGTTTATTGACATTTCAGATGTGGCAGACTTACGATTTTCGATGTCTGTTCGAGAGCGGAGAGATGGCGAATGCCGGAGTTAAGGTGCCGTGGTGGCCATACCGTCGGTCACGTTATCGATAAGATAATAGCACTGTGGTGGCAGCTGGGGGAGGGCGCGAAATACAATACACAGGACCCATGTATTATCGTATCTCGTTTCTGAACGTAGTTTTCCTGGTCAAACGTACAACATTGTCCATATCAATGGTTTTATGGCTATGAACAATTCATCAGTCTCTACATGGCACAGGATAGCGGTTTTTTTTCAAGAAGCAGATGACGCTTACGAGGTATGGATAGTGAGCTTCCGTGAGAGCTTCGGGAAATTTCGTGATACAAGAGCAGGGATGGAGATGGCAGTCCCATAACGGTAATTACGTCATATCGAGGGAGCTCCGCTCAATCCACTCTCTCCACAAAAAGAAACCTTCGAATGCAACTCAACCTGTAATTGGGAAATGCACATCCATGACTCGACGTGGACCACCCCGAGACTTTTCCTCCTACAACACCCATCAGACCATACATCTTGTCAATTGCTAGAGAAGGGGCTCACATGACAAAGCCCAACTTAAGAGAGAACCTTTTAGACACGCAATCCGCCTTTTTTTTTTTTTTTTTTTTTTGTTCGCTTTGATGAAAGCTTTTTCTGTCTTGTCCAGGCCGAAATAAAACCCGTTCCCACTGGTTCAATCCTTCCATCTTTCCCTGACAGGGACCATCGGCATCCGATTTCAGGTTCCTCTCAATGGCGCCGCCGACCGAGAACCTCAACCTCGATGTTGAGGCCATTTCGGGAATTTGCGGGTACGCATAACTATTGCACTCTTTGTCCCACGCCCGACATCTTCACATCCGCTCTCCCAGGCAAAAGGACCCTGTATTAACAACTTGTAGCTCCATATCAATTGCTTGTTGGGTGGTCGTCTTTTCGCCCCAGATCATCGAGAACTTCCGCCGTGGCAGCGCCGAGGGCCTCTCGATTCAGTTTGTCGTCGTCTGGCTGCTCGGCGATGTCTTCAACATTCTGGGCGCCGTGCTGCAGGGCGTGCTACCGACCATGCTCATCCTCGCCATCTACTATACCATCGCCGACATCGTTCTGATGGTGCAGTGTTTCTATTACCGCGGTTTTACCCTGCGGGACGACGTTACCCCACCCGCCGCACCGCCACCAAAATCGAAGCGCAACGGTAACGGCAACGGTAACGGGCATCATCACCCCGGCGAGCCGAGTGAGCGGACGAGATTACTCGCTGGGGGGCGTGGTGAAGGTGCTGTTTCTTCTGACAACCCGGAAAGGTCGCTGTATCACGAGGACCATGAGCGGAGGGGGTCTTGGACCCATCTCTCGCCGGCAGTGCCATTCGTGAACGAGGAGCCCGAGACGATGCCAGCGCCCCCGCCAACAACATGGACGCAGGCGGTCGCTTTCAACAGTCTAGCTGTCTTCATGGTGTGTGCCGCGGGTGTCGCAGGGTGGTGGCTGAGCCGGACGTACGGGCGAGGCGGCGACGGCGACGGGAAGCCGCCGAGCGACGGCCAGCAAGATCTCCTTGAGTTCAACATGCTGGGCCAGGTCTTTGGATGGCTCTGCGCCGTGCTGTACCTGGGCTCGCGGCTGCCCCAGCTGCTACTTAACTGGCGGCGCAAGTCGACCGAGGGCGTGTCGGTGTTGTTCTTCCTGTTTGCTTGTCTCGGCAACCTCACATATGTGTTGTCCATCCTGGCGTACGAGCCCAAGTGTGCAGGGGAGGAGGGATGTCAACGCGGCGAGGCGGCGCAGATATTCTGGCAGTATATCCTTGTCAATCTCTCATGGCTGGCTGGCAGTGCGGGCACGCTGCTGCTGGATATGAGCATCTTCGTACAGTTCTTCGTCTACAGCAAAACCGAAGACGACCAAGTTAGCGATGACGACGAAAGCACCGACGAGGAGGAAAGCATTGTGGGTCCGGACCCTTGGGATCCGCGGCCTTTGCTGCAAAGGAACAATACCGGATACTAGAGGGGTGTTTGGATTAAGGTCTTGGGGAGCGAGGCGTTGGAAAACATATTTTCGAAATATTTTGTAATATACCACGGGCCGGCGGTTCAAAACCTCGCTTCTCGATTTTCTTAGATATAGGGGGTCGGTCCCAGGGTACACGGAAAAGGGGCAACCCAAAAATACAGGTCACGGTTCTTCAATTCCCTTCGGTCACTGCTGAGTGTGCCCACGCCATCCTACAACCACCCCAGCTTCTTCCACAGATAGCTGCCGCCGCCAAAGAAGGCAGAGGCGCCAGTGAAGACGATCAGTCCCCCATAGCCGCTACCATAACCGCCAAACGCCTGTCCCTGCCACGGCATCCCCTTAACCAAGGCCTCGCTCAAGGGGCCCGAGATGACGTTCCCACGCTACGGCTCATGGCCAAGAAGCAAACATCATGCTCGGATCAGCTACCTTTCCGTGGTCAGTCCCGCTGCCCTCCCCCTCATCCGAGCCCTCCGCCGCCGCCGGTCTCCCCTTCGTAATCTCATTCATCACCCCCGGCCACGCCGACGTATACGACCCGGCAAACAGACCATACACCACGCAGAACACGTACAACACCGGTAGGTTCACCGACAGACCCCACAGCAAGAACGTGCCCACGGCCGCGCCCACCGCCGACACCATCAAACACCTCGTCACCTCCAACCGGTCAATCAACCACCCCATAGCCACACACCCCGCCCAGCTGGCCACATTCACCAACATCATAGCCACCACCGACGGCACGGGACTTGCCCCCAGCACCGCGCGCGCATACGACGGCAAATAAATCCCCGGCAAAAAGAACCCCACCGCCTCCAGCACATTAAACACCTGATACAACACAAACGGCCGCTGCACCACAAACCGCAACGAAAACGGTCTCCCCACACCCACCCTCGCCACCGGCAGCCGCGGCCGCACAAAATAGCTCAGCGGCGCGGTCAGCACAAACACCAAACACGCAAACACCCTTAACGTCGTCTGATACCCCTTCGTCGCCAACAACCACTCCAACAGCAGCGGCAGCACGACGCCCGACAGGCCCGTGGCGGACCACATGATGCCGAAGGCCAGCCCGCGCCGCGCCACGAACCACTGCTCCAGGTACACGATGCACGACGCGTAGGCGACGGACCCGCCCACCGCGTAGAACACACCTTGCGTGATGATCAGGTGCGTGACGCTGGTGGAGAAGGACGATAGTGCGAGTGCCAGGCACATGAGGGTTAGGCCCGTGATCGTCGAGTAGCGTGCTTGGTGGGGGAAGCGTCGGTGCGACCACATTACGAGCGGGGCCGTGAGGTACATGATTCCCTAGGGGGGGGCGGGGTTAGATGGGGTGGTTGGAAGGGGGTTGGATGGGGGTGAGGATAAGGTACATACCATGGCACAGGTGCCGATTGTGGGGAGGTTGGATGCGCCGATGAAGGGCTCGTGGGTGCTGTAGTAGTTTTGGAAGACGCCGAAGCAGTAGGTGAAGCCTGGATGGGGGGTTGGTTAGCTGGGGTAGTGGAGGGCGTCACGGGGTGTGGTGTTCGAGGATCCATACCCCACACTAATGCCTCTATCATGAAGCAGGCGGCGAGAAAGAGGTAGGCGTCCTTGCCGGAGTCTACCGCGGGCAGGCTGGGCATCTCCTGGCCGTTTCCATCCTCCGCTCGGCGTTCCGGGCTGGCTGTGCGCGGCGAGTGGTCGGAGCTCTGCAGCTCGACGGCTGTTGTAGTTCCCGCTTCTGATCTCATGGCGGGCGAGTGTGCGAAGGTGGAAGGTAGATATCAAAATCATCAAGACCGCCCCTTGAGAGCTTTATAAACTGCGCTTGCCGATCCGAAGATAGCATGCCCACTTTCACACCGAGCAGAGCTCCACCACGCCCTTGACAGAACATCGGAAGTGGTCCGAATTGGCCAATAGGCGCAGTTACCGCCCTGATAGGCCCGGGCCAGGAACGGGTTTGATGCTTGATTACTATACGTAAAGTAGTTAGTTGGACGATACGGCAGGTTGGTATGATGTTGACTACCTAGTACGGCCATGAGGCTGGGAAAGAGACAGGGTGTATGTCTGAAAGATAGGATAGGTATTACTTTTTTTTTTTTCTTTTTTGTCTTTCTTTCTTTTCCAAGGCCATGATTATCCCATACCTAGGTACCTACGCTCTTCGCTGGGAGCTGTCCGCGCCTATTGAGCTGAATCATGGCAGCCACAGCCTGTACCCAGCCAATTCCCATCTTTATTCATCCTCCGCCGGTTTTCGAGACCTTATCGAATACAAGACACGACATGCAGGCCACTTACCTAGCGCAATCGAAAGCCCGAAGTTCCTTGGCAGCCTTTCCCCATGTTTGCTGTTTCTTTCTGGGGTTCGCGGAAAACAGCCCCCTGTCGCCAGGCTTGACAGGCTGCTAAAACCGATGCGGGGGAGCCGAGGTCCGCCGAACAGTGGGTTTCGATTCCCCTTTCTGGCAAACAGTAGCCGAGGGGAGGATGGCATTCTTATTCGTACAAAGTTGGCTTACATCTTGAACCGCGTGCCTTTAATTCACTTGATGTTGAATTAGCATTCCACTTTGCGTGTCTTGACCTCAGTTTCGTGGTCTTACTTCACCCTCTCTATTTTTATGAATTAGTCAAAAACAAACCAAAGAGCAATCTCAATCTCTCTCACTCCACAATGGCTTCTCCCATCAAAATCGAGTACCAGGGCCGTGTCGCCATCATAAGCATAGACAATAACAAGAAGCTGAACGCCCTCAGCCAACCGGGGTACTACGACCTCGCCCAGGCCATGCGCGAGGTCGCCACCCACGACGAAGTGTTCATCACGCTGCTCATCGGCAAGGGCCGCTTCTTCTCCGCGTATGCCCCCCTCCCCTTACCATCCACACATCCCACAACATATTCTAACCCACCCATCCCCCCTCCAGCGGCGCGGACGTATCCCTCTCCCGGACCACCCCGCCAACCGCCCCCTCCTCCTCAGACCCGCACGCGACCCACCGGCTCTGGCTGCAATCTTTCGTAGCCTTCAACCTGAACCTGACGCAAGCCTTCTACACGCACCCCAAGATCCTGGTCGTGGGACTCAACGGGCCGGTGGTCGGGCTCTCGGCGGCGCTCGTGGCCTTCGCGGACTTCGTGTACGCGGCGCCGCACGCCTTCCTGCTCACGCCGTTCAGCTCGCTGGGCCTGGTGACCGAGGGCGCGGCGTCGCGCGCGCTGGTGCAGAGGCTGGGGATTGCGAAAGCGAATGAGGCGTTGATTATGAGCAAGCGGATTAGTTGCGAGGAGCTGGTGGCGACGGGGTTCGTGAATAAGGTGTTTGGGGAGTGTGGGAAGGGGGAGGATGAGAAGTTTCGCGGGTTGGTGCTGCGGGAGATTGAGGAGCGGTTGGGGGGGCATTTGGTGGGGGAGAGTTTGTTGGGGATTAAGAAGTTGATTAGGAAGCCGGAGAGGGATGTCATGGATGTGCAGAATGTGACCGAGGTGTTTGCGGGCTTGGATAGGTTCGTGAGCGGGGTGCCGCAGGAGATGTTTAGACAGATAGCGACGGGAGAGAAGAAGCACAAATTGTAAGGTGGGGCGTATATGTGGTGTATCTTGTATTGTAATAGCGAGATAGGTAGTGCTCTGTGGGTTGCTGATTTGGGTATCATACCAGCAAGCCAAACAGCAGGCTTGTCTTCTTGAAGTAGTCCTGTGATGCCTTCGCCAGCCTTTCCTTCGCGGCAGTCTCGAGACCCGACTCCTTTGCTATCGTCTCCTCCAGCCCCCTCAACGCGTCGTCGGACCCGAGGAACAGCCCGAGGTAGGAGATGTCCATGAGCCATTGAACAAGCAAGTCTTGCTTCTCAAAGCTGGTTTTGGCTTTTTGATCTGTCTCCTCTTTGGCTGGTTCTGTGGCTTCGGTCTTGTGGTCCGCGTCCTCTGCTGCCTTCCCAGCCTCCGTCTCCACTTCCCCCTTCATCTCGCCCGTTGCCTCGACCTTGGAATTCCCGTTTGCATCACCTTCTTCTGACTCTTCCAAGGCCCTAAGGGCTTCCAACCAGGCTGCAGATAGTTGCTTGCTTACTTGGCGCTTCAGCACAGCGACGGCCGCGGGGCTCCACAGGTCCCCGCCCGCATCACCCATGACCATAGCCAGGGTCCTGAGAAACTTGAAAGCGCCCGGGGATGGTGACGTCGGGAGGGCTGGTTCCCCATCCCAAAGACTCCGGCACGACGACCGTCTTGCGCACCAAAGCCACGGTAGCAAATTTCGTCGAGCGGCGAGACGACCACCGCTTTCACTATCGCCTCGTGAAAGGAGGGCAAGACGCCAACCCCGAAGCCCTTTGACCGACTCCAAGGCAAGCAGCCTCGCGCGAATGACCCTAAGTAACCGGGCAAAGTACATGGCAACGAGTACCGTTGTTCAGACACTATTTGCGAGCAATAGGTTGTAGCTGGTCTGACGACAATACACCGACCAATTGCCTTCACACACCTAGCGATTTGAGATGCTGGTTCGGGTCAGAGGTCGTCCCTTGGAAAAAAA